CCCCCCCCCCTCTCTGCATTGACTTTTAGATAGGTCTGTGATTTTGATTCGCTACTACCATATATCCACCGTACTAGGCGAAAAATCCCGAAACGCAAGGAGAGGATGTTATCTGCTAGCATGTGGAATAACCCCTTTAGAACGAATTCAGCTTAAGATTTTGTTCCCCTGCCGCAACTATATGAAAAGGCCTCATAATGCAGAGAGTATAATATTCGTGATCTGCATGTCGAATAACATCCTTTAGCCAAGTTTAAGTGAAATCCGTGAATTTCACCTCTTACCGTATGCCCATCAAAACTCAAGAAATGGCGCTACCGTGCGAATTTAATGTGACATTCGGTCAGGGGGTCTAGCCTTCCTAGACCGAAATTAAAAAATCCACTTTTTTGAAACTTCGGGTCCCGGATACTGGAATAGCGCCCTTCGACTATAGCTCTCTCTTTCAGAGTTATTTATGGCATGATGTCTGGTCCCGGTGCATCCAGCATAAGTGGAGATAATTCGAACTATGCAGATGACAACGATGGTGGAGATGGAGCACCTATGGACGCAAGTCGTGACATCTCTCACGTGAAGGCCATTCTGGAGGAAGCTGGCATAACCGATTATGATCCGCGTGTTGTTCATTTGCTTTTGGATGTAAGCAGTTTTTTTGGCTAAGTATGTTTGATTCTTCATTTTTTTTATTTAGCTGCTCTACACTACTACCTCTGGCTTGTTGACTGAAGCAAAGGCTATTTCACAGCATTGCGGAAAAATGGTGATTGACGAGACGGATGTACAAATCGCGGTTGAGATGAGTGGTGAGTACAGGAGGTGTAGTTCTGTCTACTGTCGGTGTAATGTTCAATATCAGGTTTCCGCTAGTGGGATTGGTTTTGTGGTATTTCTCAAAAAGTACTTCATTATTCGAGTAATCACTACGTCAACAGAACATGTAAATTATGATTCAGGACTCTTGTGTGACGGCAAGCCTAACCGAGCTGATTTACTGAAAATGGCGTGCGAGCGGAATGCACAGCCTTTACCTCAAATCCGTCACAATTTCGGACTCAAGCTTCCCAACGACAGGTTTGTGGTTTCTTTGTTGTTGTTCCTGCAATTTTTTAATTGCTATTATTATTCAGATTCTGTTTGTTGCAACCAAATGTCGAATGGCGTGGATCGGATAGAACAACAGCAGATCTGCTGGCCAACAATGCTCCTCTCACAGTAGGACAGCCTCCGGCTCATGGATATGGCGACGATAGCTTGCAACAGCTGAGACCAGAGCATGTCACTAATCTGCTCAAGAGACCAGCAGAGGAGGACTTTGATGCATGATGAAGTGGTTATCGTCTCCAGTTGCTGAGTCTGCCTGTCATCCTCAAATCCGATCTCACTACTTTGTATGCCTTTTCTCTTGTTGTTGTTTGTCTTTCCGCCTGAAGCAAGTTCCGACTTCATTTCATTAGAGCAGAATAAAGTTCTTTGGGTTATGTAAACAACGGCGTGAGGTACAAACGTTGTAGCCTTGGTATCGACCAAAATTACTTACTTCATTGTCATTTATACCCAGAAAAGTACTTTACATGGTTGGATGTTAGATGTCAAGGCATCGAGCCGATGATTAGCCTTGTAGGGGATGAGATGAGCAGATCATAGGTGCGATAGTCTGAGATGGGTACCATCTGAAGTGAAGGGGGTCTCGGCTGTTTTTGACCCTCAAA